ACATACATACATACATACATACATACATACATACATACATACATACATACATACATACATACATACATACATACATACATACATACATACATACAATGACCCCTGCAGTACGGTAGGTACGAGTATCAACCGGTATCGTACTCGTACTCGTTCCGTTGGCTGGTACGAAGTTGTTGTGTTTCACCGGTAGGGAATCGTACAAGTTACGTTTGTAGTACGAGATAACATAGCTTACAAAATGTCACACTAAAGGATGTTTACAACAAAGAGTGAGCTTGTTGCCCACTCACTATCTACTCGTGATTTACTTGTCATTAGCTCGCACGAGATGCTGCCTGCCATCTGCCAAAAACAAAAAAGATTCTTCGAAACTTCGTACGTGCCTKTGCAAGGATCTACRACGAATTTTTCCGTTGGAGTCCCGTCACGATCTTGCCAGGCACCGCTACAAGTATCGTACGTACCGTAGTAGCAAAAAGCTATTATCGAAAAAGAGATACRAATGGACAAAAAATTCAAAAAATGGCACGCATCAAAAGAACATGCATCATGCTCTCTCGTTTTTCCACCACAACTGTTGAAAACGTCGCTAAAATTGTGTGGAAGAACATCAAACGAAGCGACAGTATCATTTTGATGTGACGTAAACCAGGGCCTATTTTTCACAGTACGGAATACAAGATGAAGCGAATCGTTGCGTCATGACCTAAACATTTCCAAAAGGATAGCCAATCGAAACACTATTCATCTCGTCCTCGAAACAAAATGATGGCCCTGGGCAGAAAACACTCTGCGGATCGAAACGATGAGACTGTTCGCTTGCTTCCAAAAAATAAGCTTTCGCCATCGCTATCGCCATTAAAGACACATCACAGACGGAAAAATTCGGACGGTAGCTTGGACTTCGAACGGATTGTCAATGAATATTCGATCTGTGGTGAGTGAAACTAGTGGCAATTCTACATTGGCATATAGAAAGAAATATCATTGCAGTCAGATTGGTCTAAATTTGCTTTTGGATTGTCCTCTCCACTCTATTTGGCGTCGTCAAATCAAGCTAAACGAAAACTCCTGCGTGAAGAAGATGGTGGAAAATACACCAGCTCGAAACAAACCACAAGGTGGGTATTGACCATTGCGTGTGCACTGATCTCGGGATTCACAACCGTAGTCATCGTGTCCGCCTCCGAAAAATTGGTGGCATGGAGAACTCAGATACTCGCGTATTTGTTGACAGAGAAAATGCATACATTTTGGTATGTCTTTGGGACGTACTGTTTGGCCTCCCTGCTGCTAGCGGATGCGGCAGCGGCACTTTGTTTGTACTGGCCAGGTTCCCCGGAAGCGGTAGGGAGTGGAATTCCGGAAGTCAAAGCCTATCTGAACGGAATCCGTGTGAAAAACTTCAACAACTGGAAGCTGCTCGTTGCGAAAATGGCCGGGTCGGTTCTGAGCATCGGTTCCTCCATGGCGGTGGGAATGGAAGGTCCCCTTGTCATGATCGGCGCGTTCGCCGGTGCCACACTGGCCCACTGCGGTACGAGTTTGAGCTTGCTGGTGTTAAAGATAAAGGGATTGAAGAACAGGTGGGAGCATGGCAGGAAGGGTTCGAATGCGGGACTGGCTGCCCATGTCCACAGCATCGAGGAAGAATCCGATCCGATATTGCATTGGCTTTGGGTCAAGGCGACGAGCGATTTGTCGTATTTTGCAAACGATGCAGAACGGCGCAAACTCATCACGATTGGTGCAGCTTGTGGATTTGCAGCTTCCTTCGGAGCTCCAATCGGCGGTATGCTCTTCATCATGGACGACATATCGACATTTTTCGATCAGGGCATGTTTTTGCGCATTTTGGTGGCGAATAGTGTGGGAACCTTCTGCCTTGCATATTATCGCGGGAACCTGAGTGACTATGGTGCCATTTCCTTTGGTTCTTACAACGGCGAGGACGATAACAGTATCCGTCAGCGGTTCTTCGAAATCCCATTTTGGATTATAATGGGAATCGGAGGAGGGATACTAGGTGAGAACCAAGTTCGATTTCTGAATAATCAAAGTCTCACGAAGAAAATTCACCCTGCAGATGCGTAAACTCGTTCTTACTTCTCGTTCCGCACTCCAACAATGTATACTTTTCATACAGGTGGGGGATTTTGTAAAGCATTCGGTGATGTTAAGAGACGTAGCGCAAAACAGTTCAAGACAAAGGGCATGAAAATGCTCCGGGTCTCGTACATCAGTCTCATCAACTCCGTAGTCATGTTTTTGTTGCCGACCATGGGATGGGTTTGTCACGACTTGCCTACTGCTGCAGCCGAACAACAGTTTTTTTGCCAAGAAGGTGAAACCAACCAAATGGCATCCATCTTTTTCGGATCCCGGGGCAAAGCCATCGTGCGTATCCTTAGTGATCCCGACCAATTCTATGCGTCCACGCTGGCCATCGTCGGATCGGTGTTCTTTGTCCTCATGCTTTATACCAACACGACCTCGATCCCGAGTGGACTTTTCACTCCCATTGTTATATCGGGTGCTAGTTTTGGAGGTGCGTACGGAGTGTTTCTCAAAGAATACGTCGACAACAATATTGACGCATCGTCCTTTGCTCTTATGGGTGTCGGTTCTATCATGGCGGGTATACAGGTGAGTATTCGTCAGTCAATTCTGGTATGAAGCAGGTGCTTCAAAGACGGTGATAATTCCTCACAAGTCATCATTCGTGGACCTTTTTGGTCTCTGATCAACAATTTCAAACTCGTGTGTTTCCCTTTCGAATGCAAATCTTCAGAGATCGACCGTTAGCACCTGCGTAATTCTGGTGGAGGGAACGGGGCAGATGAGGATTTTGCTGCCCGTCATGATTGTGGTTGTGATTTCGAATTACGTCGCCCATTTGATTCACGAGGACGGAATTTACGAAGTATTGATGAAACGCAAGGGGTATCCGTACCTCTCCCACGATAAAGACGATCGCTACGACGTCTTTTCCGTTGGTGACATTATGAGCTCGAGCCCGGTGACGTTGCGAGAAAAAGAACAAGCTGTTCGCTTGGTTGAAATACTGCGAAAGACAACCCACAATGGATTCCCGGTGGTCGACGAAAACGGCGTTTTCAAGGGGCTTGTTCGTAGAAAGCAGATAGTTGCACTGATCGAATTCGGAATTTTTGAAGAGGATGGTCCCGCCCGTGGCGACACCACGAAGCCGAAAGGGAACAGCAAGGGGTTGATGAACTTTGCCTATGTCATCAAGGACGATCGATTCGAGGACGTCACGGAAGAAGTGGACGACGAGGAGCAAAACAAATCGTCGAAATGGAAGCTGGTGAAAGCGGCCTTGAAAATGACCTCTGCGCTGAAAAGCAGCAATCGCAAACGCCGCCTTGCGGACGATCTCACCATGCCAATAGTGGATGTTTCGTTGCTAGACAACTGCGACTTGCTCCACGAAACCGATTCGGATGCGGGGATAGACGGAGGCGGCGATGACATCGAAAGCGACGACGAGGACGGGAGCCAAGCCGAAGCCAAAGTTGACGCCAAAGACAAAGACGAATCCGCAGACGGCTACCTCGGGACGGCAAACAGAGGCAGCATCAGCATAACCTCCGAAAGCGCAGCGGAAGATTCGATTTATTTCTCGAGTTCCATGAGGGCCGCACCCATGATGGGACATGCTCGGGTTGGGCGGAACCGGAGGACCAACGTCCTGGTGATTTCCTGGCTGAACCCCGACAACAAATACGACGTCGTAGACCTGGCATCGGTAATGAACCGTGGGGCCTTTTCCGTCCCGGTGGATTTTCCGGTCTCCAAGGCGTACGATCTTTTCACGCTGCTGGGATTGCGATGGATTGTCGTCTTGGGTGGGCCCCACGGTGGTAGCGTTGTAGGGATTCTTACCAGAGAATCCTTCTTGAGGTTTGGGAACTCGATCTCCGCGGCCTGATTTGGCGCGGTTTCTCCAAAGCCGATCGAAATCGCAGCAATGTTCGACAGCAGTGTGGCACGCACTCTGCACATAGTAATTCTCGATGATGCGGTCGATCCATAATCGGAACGCAGCATCGTTTTTATTAATTTTTTTATTTATTTGTTTGTTTGTTTATTTGTTTCTTTTTTTCTTCGTAAGCATGGCAAAAATATTGGATGTCTTTTGGAGCAACAGCAGCAAGACAAAGCAGCACACTAGTACAGCAGTTCCGATCTTCTCTTCGTCGCAATAGGACGTCGTCGTGTGCAGCGGATGGAATCGCATCGGAGCGATCGATTCGTGCACCAGTCCTACCTCTACACGACCTCTTCGTACTAGCAGAGCTTGTGAGTGGTACGCGAGCGTGTGGTGTGGTGTGGTGTGGTGTTCGGGTGGATTTGGTTCGGTTGGATTCGGTTYGGTCTGTGTGTGCAATGCAGAGTGCATTGCGATTCGAAAAGCTAACGAACGGGGCAGAACAGTGTGAGACTGCATCACGTGAACGAGTTTCCGCCAGGTTCAAGAAAAACCCGAGCGAGGCCAGATGGGTAGGGTACGGGTACGTACGGCCGTACGGTACCTAGTACCTACGTAGTCATCACCAGGGGTACCGTATGAGTCGTAATCGTAATCGTTGTTCAGGAACCAGCTCACGGTACGTACATACATACATACATA